GAAAGGCACACTCCTCCCTCACCTCTAAAAACAGAGGCTACTAGAGAAAGGGAAGGAAGAGTTATTAATCCGATATTTTCATTGAGAGTTAATATCTTCAATAATTTTATTTGTCTTATGTGATTTTATGGTGAGTTCAGTTAAGAGATATCTATCTGATGCCAATGCATCTAGAAAATTCAATCTAAAAATTACATAATTGTTGGCAGACATGATCGTTGGTGTTATATAGAAAAATTCAGTTGATTGATTTTCTGTTTTCTGTTTCCTTTTCATTTAGCATTATATAGACCTACCACTGGAAATGAGAAACTTCTTTGCTCAAGGGCTTAATGAAGTGATACACTTGGCTTTAATGATAATAATACCTTACATATTTATTGCACTTTAGAATTTATGAAATCCTTTAGGGCAAAACACTCATCAGAAATGTGGCTTAATCTGAACCTTGTCTAGGATAATCATCTTACCGGTAATTAGTTGTTTTTAAACTGGGCTAGGTTAAGATAGTCATTGGTGGTTTTCCAGGAGAGACTGTCTTCTAATAGGTGTCTATTATAGGGGAGACCCAGAGAAGTCATTTCTTGGTAGCAATATTGTAAGTTTCTTTTTTTATTACAAATGAATTTTGGACAGGATCTTTCTCCCCACAGAAGTAAATATATTCAAAGTAATTTATTCCCCTTGGGGTCTGATTTTAAACTACTAGGTGACTGGTATTTTAAAAATCCACCTAACTGGTTATTTTGGAATAAAATATGCAGGTTTGCTAAAAACAGAACATCACCAACAAAAATACCGAGCACCACACTCAATGCCGAGCCATTTCTCTTGCAGGTATTTTTAAGGTGTTTTGTGCCACCATGCACCACCTCCCGAGAGGCATGGGTCAGATCTATGAGGTCAACAGCTGTGACAACAGGGACCCTTCTGAGCAGCCACATGGGATGATAAGAACTTTTTACATCGCCGCTGAAGAGGTAGAATGGGATTATGCCCCTAACAAAAACTGGGAGTTCGAAAAGCAGCACTTGGACGCAAGAGGGGAAAGGTACCACAGGCGCCGCTGCCAGGGCTCTTCAGTGGGATCGCGCATGCTCCGTAGGACTTTAGCAAGTGTGGCTCCCTACAAATTCCCAGGTTGTGTCTGCGCTGGTCACTACCACATGTAACTGGGACTCCTGAAAAATGAAAGTAGAAGAAAAGTTCTCTTCCCTTGGAAATCATACAGTCTAGGGTGGAAGTATACATGCATTTATTAAATACCTACTATATGCTAGGCATTGTGCAATGTGCTGGTAAAACAGTGTAGAGGATAGACAAGGTCCTTTCCTACGCAGAATTCCTGGTCCACGGTAAGACTTTAGAACAAGTATATGGAGTGAGGCAGTCACTATGAGAGGGGAAGGGTAGAGTGCGGCAGGAGATATGGCAGAAGTACACAGCCCTGTCTTGAGGAAAGGTAGGGAGAAGGTCAGTAGTCAGGGGGTGCTTCTGGGAGGAAGTAGTCTTTGAGTTGGGACATGAAGAGTAGTTCACTTGAGGAGGAAGGAAGCATGTTCGTGGCAGAGGGAACAACCTGTGTAAAGGCCTGGAGGTGAGGGAGAGCACATCATGTTCAAGAGAGTGAATGTTTAGAATGACCAGAGCACAGAGCGGAGGGGGCCAGTGATGGGAAATGAGGCTCAGGAGGTGGCAAAGGCAGATAGTGAGGCTTGAGAGTCAAATTGAGGAGTTTGGCAGTGGGAAATCATAAAAATGCTTAAAATCAACGTGATTAAATGTATAGCTTAGGATCCCTCTGACTGCAGTGAGGAGAATAGAGGGCAAGGAGGAGTACAGGTCGCAGGCAGAATGGTTAGGAATAATTCCACCCAAGATAGGTAAGTGATACATGTGGCTGAGATGAGAATGCAAGCTCCCTCAGTGGAAGGAGATGGAAGGGGTAGGTCTCACTGTATTTTAGAGATAAAATTAATAGATTTTGAAAATCTGTCTTTTGTGATGATCTGTCTTGGCAATAGATGAAATGTACTATACATGTACGGTACACATACAGTCTATCCTCATTATTTGTAGATTCTGCTTTTGCAAATTTGCCTACTTGCTAAAATTTATTTTTAACCCCAAAATCAATTCCTGTGACATTTTTGTGGTCATTTGAAGGTACATGTAGAGTAGCAAAATTTTATGTTGCCTGACGTACACATTTTCAGCTGAGGTCAAACAAGGAGTCTCTCTGCCTTCTTGTTTCGGCTCTTATACTGTAAACAAATGTCCTTGTTTTCAGACTATTTAGTGCCATGTTTTTTGCACTTGTGTGCTTTATGTTGGTGCTTTCACTGTTTAGAATGCCCCCCTTAGCAGAGTGATGAAGCCGTGTCCTGAGTGCAAGAAGCCTCTGATGTGCCTTATACATGTGAGAGGTACTTTGTTCTTGCATGAGTTATAGCGCTGTTGGCTGTTGAGCTCAGTGTTAATGAGCTCAACAGTGTTAATGCTGTTGAGCTCAGCAATATATATTAAATAATGTGTCTTCAAAAAGAAACAGACATAAAACAAGGTCATATGTTGATCAATTGATGAAAATATTATGACCAGAGGTTTGCAGGAACTTAACCCTATATTTCCCCTAGGAACAATGGTTCAGTCTTTATTAGTCCAGTTATCAAAATGACTTTCTAGAACATAACTAGGGTGAAGAACAAGTATCAACTGTATCTATCTATATTTGTATATGGGTGTATGCACAACATATGACTATAGTCCTTCTTGAGATCTTTCAAAGTGGAAAAGCATTACCATGTACAGAAAGATGCAAATGAAATCTGGAGAAACTCAGGGTGGTAGAGGGTGGATGTGTGTGTGTGTGTGTGAGAGAGAGTGTGTGTGATGACACACACAAGCAGATGCATGTATGTAAGGTTAGATGGTCCCAGAAGAGAGGTGCAACCTCAAAGGATCCTTAGGAGTCTCTGAGGTTGGCCCTACTCAGTGCTTAGCAGAAGATTACAATAGTGATTTCCAAGGGTGGGCCATGAACTGGTGCTGGGCTGCCCATATCAGAACTCAAGGAGCTTTAAAGTGCAGATTCCTGGCCTCACTCCCAGAAAGTCTGGTGCAAAAGGCCAGCTCCCCAGGGAGCATTTGATCACAGCCAGGTTTGGGGAGCACTTCTCCAGAGTACCCCTGAATCACTTAGAAGCGCTCAAAGCTTTTCTGCTTTCTGACAACTTTAATTTCTGATGCTTCTGATTTTCAGACATGGAGATATATTTATGAACCGCACTGAAAATTGGATTGGCTCTCAGTACAAGAAGGTGGTTTACAGGGAATACACGGATGGAGAATTTGTGGAGATCAAAGCCCGACCACCACGAGAGGAGCACTTAGAACTCCTGGGTATGGCACAGATTTCAGGCGTGCACTATCAGCCCCAAGCATGTGCATGCACACACACTCATGTGTTCTGTTAGACTTGTGGCTGAGAAAGGATAGAAGAAACAGAGTAGCTTGACTGCATTCCTCCAAGTGCAATATTTTCCTGCTCTACCATTATCGGGGAGTGTGCTGAGTGCTCAACTCATACAAAAAATAGTCATAATAAGCTACCAGATAACACACAAATAGGAATCCATGACGTTGGGGCAGTCTAACTAGTGTATGATACCCTAAAGCTTCTTTCCAACCCCTATACTGAGCTAGGAAGTTTTAATTTGAAATAGTTTGATGTGTCAGAACAGCAGGCAGAATGTTTCCATAACTTCTTAAGGTCCTGGGTTATCCATGCACAGTGCTATTGCAACATACCATGAACATATTTATGACAAAAGAAGAGCTCCTATGTGAGATGGGGCCAAGGGAGAAAGGTCTGGCTTTCTCCTTCCTGAGAGATCCCTCTCAGTTTAGGAGGCCCTTATTCATGGCCTTCTCAGAACCTGAGCTGCCGGACCTGGCAATGAGATAAGCTATTCCTGCTTTCCTTCTCCACTTTTCTTCATGGGAAGTCACCTCTGACCCCATCTTGGGGATAAGACCTTAAAGCAGAGGGTAAATCTAAGGGACTTTTGGAAATCCTGCCCACTTTTTAATACACAAGGTAACTTATATAAACAGTATGGTCTTACACAGGGCTTTCCAACATTAGAATAAGGCCCCACAACTCCTAGCTTGATAAATTATTAAATTAAATGCTCCATCCATGTAATACATGTGGAGGTGTAGTAGACCCCACACTTCCACAGTCTACTAACGTTCACAGATAAGCTTGTTTGTCTCATCAAATGAGTGAGTCAGCCCTGATCGAAACATTCATTCATTTGAGCTGTGATGTTGACAGAGCTTTAAAGACGCTGAGGTGCTGGTCCTGCTGAGGGGTTTGAGGTGTGCCTCTAAGGCTCTTTGGTTTGGTTCTTCTCAGCAAAATGACACAAATGAGTTGACTTTATGAGAGGCAAGCCCATCAGCACTTCAGCCAGAGGAATGTGAGGCCCATTTACTCATTTTCTGCGGCTCAGGGAGAGGCTTGGGTTCCTCAAACTGGGCGCATGGCAGGCACACTTCAGTTCATTACTATTCCCTGATAGTGACCTCTCAGGCTCTGAATCAGTACCCATTCGCTCTTACTCATCAGTAGTCATTTGCTCTTACCAACCAGTATAGCAAGGCATGTGCAATTCAGGTGGTAATGAGTACACAAATAATGATTTTAACATATGCATACATAGGCACTTGTTTCTAACTATAACCAAATGTACTGTTTAAGAACATGCAAAGCGTTTTCTTCTTTTTTTCAGCCCAGTCCACTTGCCTTCGGGTTTTCTTTTCTAATTTTGCCATTAAGGGGAAAAAATGAGTGCTTTTTAGAACTTCCTGATTCATGTTAAATATTTTAAGAAAATTTTATTTATTTATTTTAATTAAATGTATTTATGTTTTAAGAAATTGAGAGAAAATTGAAAATAATAACAGTCCAACAAATTTTAGATTTACATATACCTTTCTCAGAAAAGCAATTAAAACCATGGCTTGAATCAGCAAGGAATTGATATGTGTGGCCAGACCACCAACTGTGAGTGTATCTCCCTGTGAATGTAGAATGCACCAAATACCCAAGAGAGAGCCATAGGGATCAAGCACTCCTGAAATGGGAGTCTACTCACCATGAAGCAGTGCACAAGTCATGCTGCTACAGACCCTCTCAGCCAGGTGTAGGCTCATCTCCATTGGCACACAGCCTGGTTGCTTCCAACAGAAATGCACACACCAGAGGAGCTGAAGAGTGCTTGTCTCCTTGGGTAAACAAATATTGAGAAACAGAGTTAGACGTGCATTCATGAAGTCACTGTATTAATCATAAATTAATACATAAATGATTTTATTTCACTCTAATCCTTCAAATTCCTTTTATACACATTTCATTGGATCTTCATTATTATTATCATCCATTTACCAGATAATGAATAATTTCAGACTTATCAAAGGTTATACACAGGGAGATTACAACTGAAAGTCACCATATCATGTGGATATGGCTTTTCCTGGAGATGATTTCTCAGTAGTAAAAAGTTAAGCATTTACTGAGTACTTATGGTGTATCAGTGCACTGAAGTAAACACTTTCACATACATTATCTTATTCAATTCTTACTATAATCCCACATGAAAGTTATTACTAAACCAATGTTAGAGATGAGGAAACTGAAACTCAGACAGATTACATCACTTACCCAAGGCCCCTCTAATAAATGAAGGAGGCAGAATTTAACTATTGCTAAAGACTACATGATATTTAATACCACATAATGTTGCTCTCTAAAACAAAGTAGATTTATATATGCCTTTCTCAGAAAAACAACTAAAGCCAAACTATTTTATTTGGCTCACTACTGCCTATATTTAAATTACACTAATGTTGAAAGAGCAATAATAATGCACACAGTCCTGTGTTTTGCCTTTAGGCCCAATGATTCATGCCGAGGTGGGCGACACCATCCTGATCATATTTAAGAACAAAGCCAGTAGGCCCTACTCCATCTCAGCCCAGGGTGTGGAGGAGATGGATAGTGGAAAGCAATTCCAAGTGCCCATGACAAAACCAGGTAAGTTGCGTCAGAGGTCTGCTCCATCTTGAAGAAGAGCACTGGAGTCAACTCTCTTCTGACCTCAGAGGGGTCTTAAAGAGCTCATCTTAATGTCAATGTGTTTCAGACATCATCTAGTCACTCTGGTATGAGATCATCATTCATCCAATGACCAAATGTTTAGGAATTTCTAGGGCTCCGTTAGGAACCTCCATTAGGAACCCCATTATCAACATCCCCCACCAGAGTGGTACATTTGTTGTAACTGATTAACCTACATTGACACATCCCCTGAAGCCTATAATTTACATTAGGGTTCAGTCTTGGTGTATACACTCTAAGGGTTTTGACAAATGCACAACAACATGTATCTACCATTGTAGTCCTATAAAGAATAGTTTCACTGCCCTAAACATTCTCTGTTCTCTGGTGTTTGTTTTTTCCTCTTCCTTAACCCCTGACAACCACTGATCTTTTTACTGTCTCCATAGTTGTTCTTATAGTAGCTCCCCCTTATCACGGTTTTGCTTTCCTTGGTTTCAGTTACCTGAATCAAACTTGGTCTGAAAATATTAAGAAATTTTGAGATAACTTCAATTAGAGACTATAAAAAGATATTTTGAGAGTGAGAGACTACATTCACATAGCTTTTATTATAGTGTACTGTTATAATTGTCATATTTTATTATTGTCAATCTCTTACTGTGCCTAATTTATAAATTAATTATAGGTATGCATGTATAGGAAAACACATAGTATATATAGGTATGGCACTCTCTGTGGTTTCAAGCAACCCCTGGAGGTCTTGGAATGTATTCCTCCTAGATAAAGGGGGACTACTGTAGTAAACATAAAAATTAACACATTAACTGCCTTCAAAATGAAGCATTATCCTGTGTATTTAATTACATTATTTCATTTAATCCTCACAACAATTAGAAAACTATGATGACCAACCCACTTTACAGATGAGGATACTAAAGGTTAGTGAAGTTAAGTAGCTTGTCAAATGTAGGAAAAAGGAAGTCATAGGGTTGAGATTTGGAACTACGTCTCTCTGATTCTGGTTCTCACCAAATCTCATCTGCCCACTTGAGAAGCTTTAAAAAACACTAGCACCAGAGTCCTAGACCCCAGACTCTCCAATTTCACTGGTCTGGGGTGAGACCTGAGCAGCAAGAGCTTACAAATATCCCTGGTGACTCCCATAAGAGGTCAAGGCAGAGGTCCTTGATGACTAAGATGTGCTCAAAGACGGTTCTTGGGAAGAAGATACAACATTTAAGGAGGAAAAACAGTAAGGTATAAAATGTTCTTATTTCCTGAATACACACCAGTTGACAATAAAAAAGGGAAACTAGAGGGAAGGCTGGAGCCTGACATGACAAATCTGCCATTTCATTTTGAAATAGTAGAAATCGAGATGGGAGTTTAATAAGAACATTTGTAATGAATGAGTAATTCTCTCCAGCAATAAACTTTAATGAAATATATAAAGACCTGCTTGTATTTCTTCAGATAAATCATCTGAAACACAGGTAATTCTAATAATTTTTTTCCATTTCATTTATTACAGGAGAAGTAAAAACTTATAGATGGAATATCCCTAAAAGATCTGGTCCAGGGCCTTCCGATCCCAATTGTATTCCATGGGTTTACTATTCAACAGTAAACTTTGTGAAGGTAAGGTGGAGAGAGCAACCAAAAGGTTTAAAATAATCTGGATGAAAGTTGACTAAAATAATCTGGATGAAAGTTCATCACGGCTTGGGTTGGTATATGTGAAAGCGTGTAATGATTAAGAGCAAAGGGTCTCACACTATGGCCCATTTACCAAATCTAGCCATGCTGGATTTACGTTTACATTGTCAGTGGTTGACCTGAGTAGCTGCAACAGACTGTATGGCCCACAAAGTCAAAAATATTTACTATCTGGTGATTTTTTTTTCCAAACAAACAAAAAAAAAGTTTGCTGACCCTTGACTTAAAGTATGGGGGATAAAAACAAAATCCCGATGTTTCAGTTACCAAATTTAGAACTTCAAAAGATAAAAGGTTTGAAGCAAAAGAGGATATGTAAATACATAACAATAAAATAAATATAACTTAGAATACAATTTATGTATGGTTTTGGATGTGTGAAATCTGTTCATTTTAAATGCATTACCAGGGCTACTAGGGCTTAGGAAAAGAAAGTTCACTTTAAACATAGTAACTGAAACTACAAAACTATTTGAATGATTAATGATCTAACTTTGAAATAAAAGGCAAAGATTCAATATTGAATTTGAGCCAGATATGTATGTGTAAAACAACCACAGTCTTTAATTACATGCCATAAACCAAAGTCCAATCTAAAGCTGTTACCTGATGTAAAATGTAAGCTTTGCCTATTAAAGAAGAAAAAGGAGGGATTATCTTAACCTCCCTCTTAGGTATTAGATGGCTTGTGTTAATGTCCTTGAGTTGTACTGGACGGTTCTAGAGTTCAGAGACAGATATACAAGGCACTTGAATAAATAAACTTACATATGAGAATTATGGGAAAATCCATATTTATTTATTATTTTATGCATCACAACAAATATTTATTGAGCACTTGTGATGTGCAAATGACCCCACCCAATACTATGAGAGATGCAGATACTCCTCTCTCTTTTTTTTTTTTTGAGACAGAGTCTCGCTCTGTAGCCCAGGCTGGAGTGCAGTGGTCGGATCTCAGCTCACTGCAAGCTCCGCCTCCCGGGTTCACGTCATTCTCCTGCCTCAGCCTCCCGAGTAGCTGGGACTACAAGCGTCCGCCACCTCGCCCGACTAGTTTTTTGTATTTTTTAGTAGAGACGGGGTTTCACCGTGTTAGCCAAGGTGGTCTGGATCTCCTGACCTCGTGATCCGCCTGTCTCGGCCTCCCAAAGTGCTGGGATTACAGGCTTGAACCACCGCGCCCGGCTGATACTCCTGTCTTGAAGAAACTTACAACTTTGTGGGGGAAATAATACATGTCCACACTTGTAACTGTAATAGAGCTCTGAATCTGGTGAATTCTGTAGGAGTGGCAGACTAAAGTACTATAGAAGGTTTTGGAAGGAGAGTCTAGGAAGAAAGAGCATTATAGGGAGTGTTTGGGACATGTTGAGAGTCCCATTTGGCTATCATAAGGGGTCCAGTAGTAAATCAAGAGGTAGCCTAAGCCAGACAAGTTCATTAGGGGAGCACATGGAGGGCTCACGGACCTGCAAGGATTTATATTTAATTCTGCAGGCCATGGAAAATCACTGAAGACTTCTAGATACGAGAGTATAAAGATTACTGTGATGGTGTTCAACAGGATGGTCTGGAGGTGGGGTGAATCACAGCCGAGAGAGGAATCAATTTCTAGTCCAGGGTGAGGTATTATGACCCTATACTAGAATGGTGGCAGGTGGAATGAAATATTATTAAATTACTTAATGGCTCTTTTAACTCGGTTTATTTTTCTTCCAGGATACGTATAGTGGTTTGATGGGTCCTCTGATTACATGCCGAAAAGGAGTACTGAATGAAAAAGGAAGAAGAAGTGACATTGATTATGAATTTGCTCTCTTGTTTTTGGTATTTAATGAGAATGAATCCTGGTATCTGGATGACAATATTAAGAAGTATCTCAACAAAGATCCACGAGATTTTAAGCGCACTGATGATTTTGAGGAAAGCAACAGAATGCATGGTATATCCAAAGTTTAAAGAGAAGAAGCCTATGTTGAGATAAGCTTATAGGATTTCTGTAAATGTAGGAGGCTCCCAGCATCCTTCTCTGAGCCTTTCCCCCTTCCCAGGGGCACCTGGACTGAAGAAAGTCCTCTAATGCTTTCGTTCAGACTGAACCAGCCTAGCCACTGATTGGCTGGCAATGAAGTCATTGAGGCTTTGAACCAACTTGTAGGGACATGTATTTTTGAATGCTGGAATCTCTAAGCTCTAAGACTGTGAAGTAATCCTTTAAAAACAAATAATGGCTTATTGTCATATTTTTATAAGAATATACCATAACTTCCATTTGATTAAATTTAAGGGCCAGGTTTGTCTCTGGGATACGAAACACTATCATCAAATTTCTGTTTTAATGTATCTGTGTTACTTAATTCTGTATTATGTAAGGTAGTTTGTTGGTGGGAATAATGTGTTTGAATTGACACATCCAGTTTCTCACCAACAGCTATTTTTGACCAAA